TTGCACAATGTGTTTCATGTGTCGCAACTTCGGAATTATATTTCAGATCCATCTCATGTGATTCATATGGACGATGTGTAAGTACGGGATAATCTTACGGTGGAGACGATGCCTGTATGGATCGTGGATCGTGAAATAAATACTCTGAGGGGAAAAGAGATTGCCTTGGTTAAAGTGGTTTGGCTAGGAGCTGCCGGAGAGAGCATGACTTGGGAGTTGGAGAGCAAGATGCGAGACTCCTACCCTGAGTTGTTTGATTGAGGTAAATTTTCGAGGACGAAAATATTCTAAGTGGAGGAGAGTTGTAACGCCCGTAATTTAATTAATCATTTAATTAAATTATTTTTGGAATATTTGAGAAGATGTGTTATGACTAATTGGATTTATTTATTAAGTGGAGAAATAATATTAGAATTATAATATTATTTGGTGTGGGCTTATTCGAAGGAATGGAAGTAATAAGGGGGTGTATTAGTTTTAATCCCAATAAGGAATAAAGAATAATAGGTTATTTTATTGTTGTTAGAAAGAGTAGAAAAGAAAGAAGCAGTAGAAGAATAAGGATTGAGAAGAAGAACGTGAAGCTGTTGGAAAAAGTGGAAAAATGACAGAACGAGAATTCAACCGGAAAATTATAGAGCGATCTTCAATCCAAGGTAAAGGTGGGGTTCTGACTTTATAATTGGATTCATGATAATTGATATGTGGGGTTAGAGGTGATTGCTATTTTGACCTTGAATTGGATGTATATAATGATGTATGATGAAGATTTGATGAATTTTAGATGAATAATGATGTCCCGATGTTGTTTGATCGATGTAGTATTATAGGATAATTGTAGGTGATGATATATCATGATTATATTAAGTTTGTAGGGTTAAAAACATGAATCCTATAGTGAGATGTAGGGAAGATAATTGCAGAATTATGCAAGAAGAATCAGGATGTGTCTACCTCAAACATGATGCGTCGATACATGAGGGCTTAGAGACTCAGTATGAGTCGACACGAAGGGGCTTGCGTCGATACATGAAGGTTGAAAGACTCAGGATGGGTCGATCTGTGGGATGCATGTGTCGATACATGCGGTGTGCAAGACTCAGGATGAGTCGATCCATGAGAGGATGCGTCGACTCATGTTGTGCAGTTAGAGCAGTACGCATAGATCCAAGGGGTTTTGCGTCGACCCATAATGCCTGATTTTTGGCAGATTCAGTTTTAAAGTGTTGTAACTTGAGTTTTAGAATGTCGTTTGAGGTGTCGTTCGAAGCGTTGAATAGCTAACACAATGAGCTTTGTTCTAGAGGATTAAAATGAAGAATAGGAAGTGTAATCCTGGTAGCCAATTTAGGGCTTAGAATTAATTCCCATGTTGATCGTTGCGTTGGTTTTGAGCAGAATGATGCAAATTAGATGCCTAGAGGCTGCTGTTAGAATCATAACAGTAGGATTAGTGACAATAACGATGTAAGAATTACAGAATAGCAGTATGAATTACTGTGGTATTAATGTACAGCTGATTTGTTAGTGATAAGTTGTTAATGATGTTGTGTTGATGATTTGTAATTTAATAAAGGATGTTTGATGAATTATTATGATGATATGAGATGTTGATGAAGAGACGTTGAGATGCTTTTGAGATATTGTTAATTTGAGATGTTGTTAATTTGAAATGTTGTAAATTTGAGATGTTGTTAACTTGGGTGTTGTTATTACATTCATGATTGTGTCGCATACATTGCATTTTTTTGAGATGGAGCTTATGCTCGTTGAGATGGCCTGTATTGGTGAATTTTGAGATGAAGCGTTATGCCTTGTTGATGCCTCTATTAATTGGCAAATTTTTGAGATGGGAGTTCTGCTCCAATGGTACCACATGCATTTGCATAGTATTGAGTCGCATTATATGATTGCATGAAGAAGCGTGTAGTGATGTTATGAATGTGTATTATTGTTGATTATGAGATGAGAAGTGGTGATGTTATGTGATCTAATTTAATATATTAATTATCATGCGCTTTATTATATGGTTAGATATCTCACCCCTTCTGTTTGAATGTTGCTCTTATGCTGGTAACGTGCAGGTAATCTATAGTGAAGGTTGTATACCTTCAGTAGGTCGAGTCGGTGTCATTGCTCTGATATGTAATACTCGGGGGGATGAACGCTTGCTGTTTTTTTGATTGTTGATTATTATTAAATTGTGATGTTTCGAAGTTGCTGTATTGATGATAAAATTGTTATTGAGAATTCCGCTGCGTAGATGTTGAGTTATTTAATTAAAGATGTTATGATGATGGTTCATCCGATGTTTTGAAAGTGTTATATATCCACGATGAATGCAATGAATTTTGATAGAAGAATTTGTGACGCCCCGGTTCGTTTGCATGATTGAATTTTATAACTCTGATTTATTTTATATAATTGTTTGGGGTAGAAGTGGGGTGATACACTCTCCCTTTTCTCTATTCGGTTTCACTTCTACAAAATGTGGCAGTCGCGGGGATGAGGGGGAGGTGGTCGGAAGGGAGATGGATATGGGGTGACTTGGGATTACCTTCTACTGTTTCGGTTCAACCGCTATATGCTGAGGAATTTACTGAGTTGAAGTTGTTGGTGTCTTCAAATTTATGTTTTGCTGCAGGTTCGAACCGAATCAGGTGGATTCTAGAATCAGACGGTTGTTTTACAGTAGCTTCCTGCTATTCTGCGATTGCAGCCTAGTTTGTTCTGTTCGGCCCAAAGCATTTGCATGATAAGGCGCTATAGTTGACTTAGAAAACGGATGTGCCTTATAATATAAAGAAGTCTCGTTAATAGGTTACCGATAAAAGATCTCTTGAGGCATAGAGATATCTTTTTTTCATTGGAGAATCAGAAGTGTGTTATGTGCAATAGAGGTGTTGAATCTTTGGAGCATATTTTTTATATTGTTCTGTGACTAAACTGATTTGGAAGGAGCTTTGTGAGTGGGTTGGGATAAAGGAGTTTATAGGAGATGATTTAAAAGGGAGCTTTAGTGATGGTATGAATATTGCAAAGCCAAGAAGATGAGAAGGGGGAGGGAAGGAGTTATGTTGCTGGCTATTTGCTGGACTATATGAAAGTTAAGGAATGATATCGGTTTTAGGAATGATAAATGGAGTGTGCTTGAAAACGTTTGAAACATAAACATTATAATTAAATGGCTTATAATATCTCTTTTTACTCGAGATTTCATACTCGAGCTTTTCGTATTCAGATTTAAGAACCCTTGATTCTCTTTATCAATATATAACTATCTTTAAAAAAAACATAATGAAAAATTAATTAAAAATACCCATACAAAAAGGCAGTCAAATAGCGTGGAAAACAGTCAAACATAAATTAGAGCCTAAAGAGAGAGATTTGATTTCCTTAAAAAGGTTATGCTCACATCACATGTATCCTTTGGCATGTCTTTTCCATTTCCATTCATGGAAATAAGAATCACCGGTCAAATTTCATATCTTGCTCATGATTTCACTCTTCATCATATTTCCCAAAACAAAGAAACATGAAAAACAAAACGCATCAATTCCCATAATCAGTGTCAAATTTGTAACGGGTAAAAGGAAAATAGACAGAAGAAATGAAATGCGACTCTTATTATTATTATTATTGATATCATAATAACAGAAAAAACAGTATGACATTTTCACAGCAGAAATTGTCTCCTTTTTGAGCTGCATGCCATTGCCTTAAGCAGCAAATGCAGTAGAGTGCTTTTTTATGTATTAATAATTCTCAATGGAATTAAATCAAATTCTGCATGCTTTAGTTAAAAACGGCAATACAAATGATTAGACAATGCAATTAAAACTAAGGTTTTAAAATACGGTTGCGGACGCATAAAAGCTTTAGCGATTTAGATTGATACATATATTACGTGTTAGAATAATAATATAAATATGAATAAGTGGAAAAATAATCTCCTATTAAATGAAAATACAGAGATTTAAACAATATATAAGTGAGAGAATATAATAACACCTTTCAACCCCTAAAAAAAATACCATATATTTTAATTACTATTAACTTTCAATCTGCCAAAAAAAAAAAATAGTTGTTCCCATTAGACATGTGATTATTGATTATTTTATATTACAATCCACATGAAATAAATAAATACACCAAGTTGTAAACAAAAATGATTCTCTTTTCAATCTGCATGAAAATAATTAGTTATGAAGAATATGACACATCACATGTCCTTTATGTGATGATCACAATTTCCACACACACAAAAAAAGCATCATATTTTCTTGATTGTGATACGGACCAACGGAAATATGACAATATGACATTTCTTGGTTTTTGTTTGTTTCTTAGCACAATCTGCATGTTTAGTGTTATCGCTATGGAGAAAAACTTGCATGGATACCAACTTAAATCTTTAGTGTTAGAAACAACCAATATGAAAAAGTATATTTTAAATTTATTTAAAATTTAATTTCTTTTTTAATTGGATTAATGAAGGTGGTTCTCTACTTTTCTGTGCCTGTTGATTTTTCTTGACTTTTCAATTTGTAAAAAAAAATACTATATTTTGATAACGTTACTTGAACCTCATTAATTAACATGTCATCAAATTATTCGGTAATTAAGTTTCTCTAAATAAAAACAGAATTTAAATGCTAGGAAAGCTGTGTGATAATAATACATACAAATCTATAATAATAGTAATTTTTGCCACTTAATTTTAATTAATTGTTTTGCAATAGATGAAAAAAGTACAAACAATGTCTCAGAAACACTTGAACATGACTTTTGTAGCATAACATTAGCACCTATTATAACTACTTACATTTAACTATCAATTTCATAACTAGAAAAAGTTCATAAATGCAAATCTGCATAAGACTCTAGAAGCGTTTTTGCTACAAATCTAAACTAGTTACATTTTAATATTCAACTATATATATAAATATATAAAATTCATAAGTAGATGATTTTTTTGAGAAAAATCATATTAACCCAATTTAGAGCCAGAGAGCACCAACTTCCTTAAGAAGAGGGACAAGAGTTCCATTGATGTGTTTGGCCATGAGAGTCTGCACACCACCAACAAACTTACCGCCGACGAAGACAGCCGGAACAGGCTGCTCAGCCCCAGAAATTTGATTCAAGAAAGACCGGATAGCATTTCCATCAGACTCCTTGTCAAGCTCCACAATAGTTGGTCCCACGCCGAGGCTGATGAGGAAGCGTTTGGCCACTGTCGACATGCAGCAGTCGCTCAAGCTGAAGATCACCACCGCATTGGATGAAGCCAAGTGGTGGACAACTTCACAGGGTGTCATGTTGAGCTTGAAGGGAGGTGGTGGTGGTTGTGGCTGTGGTGTTGCGTCTATTTTTGTTGCCATGATTGGAGGGAAAGAGAGGGTGAAAGACATAGGAAGGGTAACGAAGGAAAGTGGAGTTATTGGGTTGAAAGGAGTGAAAAGTGTGAGAGATTATTTTTGTTTATATAGAATGTGAGAATGTTTAGGCGACATATAATTGTTTTGGTTAGTTAATGTAATGTGATGTGTGTGAGTCAAAGAGAAACTAAAGGTTTCAAAAGAATGAGTTTCATGCAAAAAAAAATGTACAACAGAAAAAGAAGAGTGAATTGTAAACTGAAAAAAAAAATGTTATATGGTGTCACTTGGAGAAAAAAAAGGGGTGTTGGAAAGGAACTCTAAGGAGAGAGAGGATCAGAAATATTCCTATTGAGAATAGACTGACATTTTGGTACGTATTAGCAGCTCTTGTTGGTGGCTAGGTGCAGACTGCTATGCATGATGAATAATAACTGATCATCATATAACCATAAAAAATGGTAGATATGTGCATTTTGCATGTTGCATGTATATGACATTAATGTTAATGTGTGTCTCATACCATTTTACTTGGGTTTCTTGATATGATATACATACGAAGGAGGAATTAAAACCTACATATAAGCTGTGATTTGGAAAACTTGTACTTTCTTTATAATAGAAAGTTATTGAAAAAGTTGGACCATTTTTAAATGTTTATTGTATTTTTGAATAAAAGGAATGTTTTTTTGGCGACAATAACAAAAGTAGAATCATAGTTTTCCTACTATTTGTAAACATCTCAATCCTACTATTGAGGATGTTTAATTAGTTAAATGTTTAAAACATAATTTATTTAGCATTAATCAAATATGCGATAAAAATAACTAATTAATGTTCAATTTGTTTATATGCAGAGTCATAAAATTTGAAAACAAATTTTTATTTATTAATCAAAGAAATTAAAATACTTATATTGTTAATTTTAATACTTTACATTTAAATGATGCGTGTTTAATAAGTAAAGAAGAAGAATCATAGTTATTGTTAGAAACTCACCAAAATCTATGATGAATTTCTATCACAATAACAATTTAAGTATGAGACAAACAAAGAAAGAAGACAAGACAAGACAAATAATTTCTGCAGAGTTTCTCTCTGCTCACAAACTGTGAAAACTTTATTATTCACTTTGCAATTGCAAAATACTGTAAATGACTTGCTTGACTTGCTTACAAAAAAATAGAGGTTACTCCTTCTATTTATAACTGAGCTTACACCCAAAGTCCAAAGTCTAAAATATGTATTTATTACTAAATCAAATCTAATATATTCTAGACTTAAATCAAATATATTTAAATCTAAACAAATCTAGTCTTTTCGACACTATGAATTACAATTTAACACACCACCTAATTCATTGTGTCTAAACTATCTATGTTCATCATGACTCTTAGTCTTTTGAATACTTCGACTTGCACTCCCTTCGTCATGATATCTACAATCTGATTCTCAGTTCTGCAGTGTTCCAAATTCATCTTCCCATCTACTACCTGCTCTCGAAGATAATGGAACCTCATTTCGATGTGCTTACTTCGACCATGTGCTATTGAGTTCTTCGTCAGATTGATAGCTGACATGCTGTCGATCTTCATGGTAATTGTTCCATGGTCTTTCCCTGTTATCTCTTCGACCAAGTTCATCATCTAAGTTGCTTGACATGCACAAAGAGAAGCAGCTATGTATTCTGCTTCGCATGATGATAATACCATTATTGGTTCCTTTCTTGAATTCCAAGCAACTGTTGCACCACCTAACATAAACATATATCATGATGTTGACTTTCGATCTTCAGCATCACTACACCAACTCGAATCAGTGTATCCCACTAACTTGCATTCTTTTCCTTTATCAGCTGCAGGAAACAAAATGTCATAATGGAAAGTTCCTTTGAGATACCTTAGTATCCTCTTCACTGTTGCTAGATGTGATACCTTTGGCTTCTGCGTGAACCTACTTACCATATCTACACTATATGCTAAGTCAGGCCTTGTATGACAAAGGTATCTCAATGATCCAATAAGTCTTCTGTATTGGGTTGGATCAACATCATCTTCATCTGCATCTTTCGATAGATGCAGTCTTGGTTCTGCAGGTGTCGAAGTTGAGTTGCATTCTTCCATCTCAAACCTCTTGAGAATTTCTCCTGCATATCTTCTTTGATACATCATCAAACCTCTACTGCTCTTGTAGAATTCGATACCAAGGAAATATGAATCTCACCCAAATCAGACATTTTGAATTTCTTGCTGAGATCACCTTTGAAGTTTTCGATGTCACTTTTACAGCTACTTGTTATCAACAAATCATCTACATAGAGACATAGTATAAGCAATTCATTCTTTCTTCTTCTTACATATACTCCATGTTCAATTGGGCACTTTACAAATTCTTTCTCCCTTAGGAAACTATCAATTTTCTTATTCCAAGCCCTTGGAGCACTACTACAAAAAAGGGAAAAGACAACGCTTTTTTTGGCCTTTAACAGTGCTTTAAAGCGCTGCCTAAAGCAGCGCTGCTAAAAGAAAAGACAACGCTTTTTTTCAACGTAAAAGCGCTGCCTTATGTCCATTTTAGACAGCGCTTGGGCAATAGACAGCGCTTTGTAATTTTTTCCAGGTAGGCTTTAGACAGCGCTTTCCTTTGAAAGCGCTGTCTATTCCCCCACTTTAGACAGCGCTTTCAGACTTTGGGAAGCATTTTTTTTAAAAGTTTTTACAGCGCTTTTTTGGTAAAGCGCTGTCTATTGTTTACAATTTTCTTTTAATAAATTATCTATTTTAATCAGAATTTTTATCATATTTGTTAGCTTCATTCCAATATTTTGATCCAGGTTTTCAGAATTATCTTTTATGCTCCATATTTAGTAGCTTCATTCCGATAAAGACAACAACATTTATACATCTTTTTACAAGTTATGATACAAGTTAAAATTCTACAAGATATAGACAACAACATTTACAAAATTTATGATACAAGTTAAAATTCTACTAGGTAAAATGCCTAAAATATTCAAAATTGAATTTACATCTATACATCTTTCTATCTTCGAGAATTCTCATGAAACAACAACAACATGAATATCTTAGCTCTATCTTCTACACATATGTACCTATATACCTGGGGGAAAAAAATCAAATGATCGAAATTCATAACATGATAATATTAACGTTTCATATTATTCGAATTTAATTTATACTCAAAACTCGAAAGTTCTCATCAAAGGAAATAAGACAATATACCTTAGCTTATAAAATTCTCAACCCGATAATGAATTGACACCATTCCTCCATAAGTTCATCCAATTGATCTTTTGAGTAATGTGCACAATTGAATTCCTCAAAGTACTACATATATAATAATATAACATAGTATGTGATTTAGTTAAAACAATATGTCATTTTATGAGAAACCCAAATTATAAAAATAGTATGTAATTCATAAGTTAGAAATCCATACCGTGGATGGAATCTCTAATTGATCCAAAAGAATAGTTTCTTTCATAAACCTCAACATAAAATAGCCACAATCTATACTGTTACACTGGCGAAGACACTACACATGGAAAGAAAATACGAATATATATCAGGATATACCCCTTAAATTGTTTTATCAAGTATCATCACTAAAGTAAGTAAAACTGAATATCTCTTTGTGAAAATATACCTCCACTATGATCCATGTAACGTTGTTCGCTCTACTTTTTGGTACTTGAATATATCGTTGGGAGCAAAAAGCAAGTAGAACGCTATAGAATCATAAACATAAACACAAATCCAGATATGTTGACCATAAACATAAACATAAACATAAACATAAACATAAACATAAACTTGAATATCTCTTTGGAAGCGAAACACTTACGTGTCAATCATTTGTTTCAAATATGGATATGTTGACCAATCATTGTATAACGAGTCCAGATAATACACAATTTCTCTCATAGGATTAATCGCAACCAATATCCAATGTCCACTGTAAGATTAAACAAAGATTAAACAATGGACAAAAACGGAAAATTGTAATAGATTAAGTTAGGATGAAATTCTAACCCGTTGCCAGTATTATATGGCAAAAAGAACAACTTCTCGGTATCTTTACTGGCCACGAATAAACCCAGTACATATGATATGACATCATTTGGTCTCGTTACAATCAACCCGGAATTGACAGTGTTGGGAGCTAAGAAGCCAAATCTTGCTTCCAATCCACGCGGGCGCACAATGTTGTCATACATAAACCTTAAATTAAAACATGATTAACATTATACTATATTCATTGAAATGAGGGGTTAAATTGTTCATTTAATTAAACAAAGTTGATCGGAGTATACCTGATGTATATATCGATAACACTGAGGCCTAATTCCAAATGCCTAAAAACTTGCTCCATGTCCTCTCTACCAATTGCTTCAAAATATTCAAAACCAAAGATATCTGCACTCATAGATATAAGACGGGCACCACCATCCGGAATATCTGTAATTCCTAAATATGTCCGAAGGCACGACCTGAACTGAGCAGTAGTTTTTTTTGTGTGCCACAGTCTTCTTAGCAACATTCTTTTTTTATGTCGAAATGTTGCTAATTTCAGGCGTCTTACCCCTACTGAGTTGTGCAGTCTCTTTAGCATGAACCTAGTTATTATATAATTAGTTAGGGAAAGTATAAAATCACAAATTAGCATTTCTCATAGCATAATGTCATATAATTGTGTTACCTCAAATGATGCAATTGACTCGGTATCCCGCCTAATCCCCTTATTTTTTGGAATGGATTTAGTGGGAGTCTAACATTACCATGTAAACCAAATGTAAGTATAATTTCCATAAAAATTTGAATAGTAAACGATTTTAAGCATACCTCATTATCTACGCAAACGAGGCTTGATGGCCATGCATTAAACGATCCTATTGCATCCGCCACCAATGTCGCATCTGCCACATCGTCAGGTAGTGGTAACAACGCACCCCCCCTCTAAAACGACGTCAACCGATACTTTCA